TAAATAAAAAATATGAGTTTTACTGCGTAAAAATTGAAAAAAAGTGGAACGCCATTTGGTGAAAAGTGTTAAAAATCCACTATTTCAACGTTTGAAAAAACATTTAAAATCCCAAAAACTGAAATTTTCATTGTGATAATCTTGTAACCTGATGTCTAAACTATAGAAATATTGCTTTGTATAAGTTAAAAGTAGTGTACACTCTTTAAAAATAAAGTTTTATTAGGAACGCCATTTCGGTATTTTTGCCAGTCTGGGCCTCGGCGCGCGGAACGCCATTTGGAACGCTCCGCCAGTGAAGTGGTTAAATGTGGCAAAATCCTATTCCGAAACAAGTACGAAGCAATCCGAAATCTGTATGCTAAGAATCCAAAAATTGTCTGCAACAATCCGGATTTAATCCAACTAAAAGGTATAATCCGAAACAAATACGAAATAATCCAAAATCTGTTCACAAAGATTCCGACATTAGTCCGCTTCAATTCGGAATTAGTGTGGTAAAATCATATTCCGAAACAAATATGAAACAATCCAAAATATGTATGCTAAGATTCCAGTAATAGACGGTCACCCGAATCATATTATATCCCTGGTAAAAATTTCGGACTAATCCGAATTAAATCTGGGCATATTAGTGTGGATTAGTCCGTTAATTGTACGAAAATGATCCGCGTTAATCTAACATCAATCTGAGTGAAATTGTGAATCCTAAATCAGTCTGGAATAATCTTAAGTGTCTGAATTAAGTCCGTAATTATTACGCAACGATCCGAAATTATGTCCGTCAAAAAACTCATCTAAAATAAATACGAAATAATCCAAAATCAATATGTAAAGAATACGAAATCAGTCCGCAATATTTCGAATTTAATCTAGTTAAAAGATTTAATCCGAAACAAGTATGGAACAATCCAAAATCTGTATGCAAAGAATCCGGTAATAGTCAGCGTCAATCCGAATAATATCCGATCAAAACACCCCAGCCCGAAAATAAGTCTTATTATTATAAGAATTTGTAAATATATACAATCCACAGACAGTTCAATACAATCCATATTCAATCCAATTCAAAGACTTAATCCGGAATGATTTTAGAAGAAGAACCTGTCCATAAGCAGACTGTTTCGGATTAGCTGCGGATTCACTATGGTTAAACCAACCAGATTACTTCTGCATTTACTAGTTGCATATGATCTGACTAACTGCAGACTAAACCGGACTAATTACGGATTCAATAGTGATAAAAACGGTATTGATTTCAAACTTAATTCATGGTGAAAAAACTCCACAATAAACCGTACTGTTGCGGACAAATTCCGGATTAGTCCGAAATCGGTCCTACTTTTTATTCAGGGTACTTACTTATAAAATATTTAATTATGCAGTCACAATTTGTTTTTACAAATTTACTAGTATTATTAGTTATCTTGTTTCAATATTAAAATTAACACTGACTATGTGTTAGTTTCTTGTCATTTCTTTTCGTGACACTTTATAAATTCTATTATGAATTTGAACTTCTATTCGAGCGTGGTATAGTGGTTACTGTATTCGATTTCGGTGCGTTATAATGTTAGATAGGTGTAGGTTCGAATCTCCAAGCGTTCACTAGTTGTTCACAAACCGTATAGAGTTCGGACTTTTCCGGATTAATTTCGGGTGACAAAAACCTGACTATAAACCGCATTGTCCAAAATCTGTCCGGTTTTTTAACCAGGGTTCTTTTTCGACTAATTTGACTGGATTCGCTCACTGCCCATTCTGCCTTTTTTACTGGGATGTGCAACGTACATGGGTATGTGTTTTTTGGACATGTGTGAGTGAAGTATTATTAAACATTGTTAGACGTATAAAACACTGTGTGAGTCGGTCGGGTGGTCATTCTACAACTTAATATGTGGACGTCCGCATAAAAAGGACTCCTATTGTCGGTTCTAGTTTTCGAGATAATCGCAATTTAGTAATTTTGGATCAAAATCTTTATTTTTTTAAATTTTTTATTATCATTCTACATGTTTTGACAAGTCAAATCATGCGGATTTCATTAATTTATCGATAATTTAACTGTTTGATTTCATTGGTTCTTTAGAAAAATGAAAAGGGCCGATTTTGTCGGTTATTTGCAAAAGTAATCCGTATTTTAAAAATGGAGGTGAGGAAAAATTTAAAACCTCTTGATTTTTCATCTTTAAGGTGTCCTGGACTGTAAACAATTTTTATCTGAAAAACTTCCCAGAAGAACCAGAGATATTGATGTTAGAGTATTTTTTTCGTAATTGTCGAAATGAAAATTTGGAAATTGCGTCAATTTTTTCATAATAGAGACTATCAAAAAATTTTAAACAAGTTTAATATCTATTCTTTTTCTTCAAATGACACAATAAAATTGAACCTAATCATTAATCTTGTGAAAAAATGGTTTTTTAATAGAAAAACTATTCGTTTTAGAAAAGGGCCCATATTGTCGATTTTTCGTATTTTCAAAATTAAGAGGGGGGGATGGTTTTAAGAATTTTAAACCTATTTGTTTTTAGTCTTTTAGGTACCCTGTACTGTAAACAATTCTTATCTGAATAAATTCACAGAAGAACCAGAGATATTGATGTTAGAGCCTTTTTTTCGTAATCGACGAAATGAAAATTTGGATATTGCGTCAATTTTTTCATAATAGAGACTGTCAAAAAATTTTAAATAAGTTTAATATCTATTCTTTTTCTTCACATGGCACAATAAATTTGTACCTAATCATTAATCTTGTAAAAAAATGGTTTTTTAACCCATTAACGCCCAAATGTCCAAAATTTTTGACTGAAGTTCAAGGTAAGAATTTTTATCCTAAATGATTAGACTTTTAAAAACCCTTCGGTACTAGGGGGTATTGAGGTCCGTTCTTTCAGAATCCGGGGTCAAAAAAGCATTTCGACCATCAGGGAAACCAATATGGCGCCCAAAATGGAGAAAATACCGAAAAAACCGTATTTTTTTTAAACACGCTTTTCACATCAATAAGATTTTTTTGGGCGGGTCTCATGTATGCTATAGGTGGATAAAATAGTTGTACTTTCGAACTGTGTACTTGAAAACTTGAAAACTTCAGATGGCGGATCCAAAATGGCAGAAAAATTAGAGCAAAATACTTTATAAATAGCAAATGCATCATCAATATTCAAAACTTGATTTAAATCATCCGAAAATTACTTCTGGGGGGTTTTCGGGGTCGCTGATTACGAATATAAATTTTAATTTAAAAAATTCAAAATGGCGGATCCAATATGGCGGATAAAAATTTTTTAAAATCGATAAAATTGCATGAAATTACTCACTCGGGGGTTTTTGGGGTCGCTGATTACGAATTTTAAAAGTGCTTCTTTTTTTAAAATTTTTTTAAATTTTTTTAAAATTTTTGCTTCTTTTTTTAAAATTTTTTAAACAATTTTTTAATATTTTTTGTATTTTTTAATTTTGTTGTAGGGTGTTGTGGGGTAATGTGCAACGTTTTTTTTCGTTGGACGAAAAACATGTCAAATATTTTAATTTTTAAATATTTCAAAATTGAATGACTTAGAGGCATTATAATAGAATATTTCTGCATTATTAGATTTTCAGAATTTTAAATTTTTCCTACAAATTTTTCGCTTTTTCAAAAACGTCTGTTTTTGCATTTTCCAAAAAAGTTGGGGTGATGTGCAACACCAGTAAAATTCAGGTATGTAATGCATAAATATCAATGAAAATCTCTTTAATTATTAATTTTAGGCTTTTTCAATGTAAACTAATCGAAATCTGCCAAAAAAAATTTACTAAGGTATAGTTGACCTCTAAAAAGAGGAGATTTCACCAAAGAAAACAAAGTTTTTTTTTGTTTAATTTTTTATTTATTTATAACTGAATAAGGAATATAATTAAAGAAAAAAAACTAATCATTTTTTATTCATAATGTGAATCGCAAGTTATGGCACGTAAAAAGTAGTTACGTCCACCCCAAAAAAAGTGTTGCACATCACCCCAAATATGATATTTTGCGAAAAATGATTTGTACGCAATACAATGCAATGGAAACACAAAATATAAAAAGATATTTAAAATCACTTAAAAAAGTGGGTAAAGAAGTGAGGATTCTGATAAAGAAAAACACTTCATTATCCACTCTCAATACTCCTCATGTGGTAATATATAATTGAAGATTTCGGTTTCTTATTTTAAAAAAGAGATGATTCAGCAAAATAAAATATTATTGTTAATACAATATTATTGAAAATTACAAATTAAATTAGGTATTTAAGAAATTTTTAAAAAACTTAAATAATTATATATGAATTTAAAGTCGTTATAATACAATTTGTAAAAACTATTTATTAATAATGACTTATTTATTTATTATTGTAGTTAGTAATTAATTATGTTCTAGTGAAAAATAAGGTTTACAATCATCATTAAAAAAACGTGATAGTAGTGAAGCATAAGGAAACATGGAAATTACGGTATGTAGAAAAAATAGATTTAATTAATTATTTATGTAATAATTTAATATTAATTTGGCAATATATTAAAACCATTTTTTAATGTACATCAACGAGAAGGCAATGAACAATTTTTATAACAATAAAAATATTTAAAAACATTTAAATAAATATTTTTGGCTTTTAGCCTAAATTTCTTTATAAACATTCTTTTAATATAACATTTATATATGCTTTTTGCTTTTTTCTCTAAAAATATTTTAATTTTAGATGAATTATTTTACAGTTTGATTTTGGTTTACTTTATATTATGCTTTTGTTTCTACTTTTGTTATTTGAAATTTGAACAATTTCAATATGGTTTTTTAAAAATAATATTATTATAAATCGTATATTCCAGAGTCTCTCGAATTTTCTTGATCCCTACTTATATCAGTTCTTTCTTCTATCTCCACCTCCTGAAAAGCCTTTTGTCCCTCTATTTCTGCAACTTCCTCTAGTATCTTTTCTATTTCATTTCTTTTTTGAACCTCCTTCTGCTGACACTCTATCTCTTCCATACTGTCTGTCTCCACCACCACCACCACCTCCTGTAATGTATATTCTCTGTATCCTGTCCAATTGAAAACACCGGCACGTCTTCTTGGCCTAATAATCGGCCTATTTTTCTACGTTTCGATTCTAATGAAAAGGCGAAATAATTAATTAAAATTTATTTATAGAAGTTTAGAAAGGTAAAATTCTAATTAATATGCAAAATTTCTTACTGGAATTTTGTTTGTACTTCATGTTTCCAATATACTGAGATAAATAAGGCATTGTATTTGTCGCCTCCATGTCTGCAGCATTCCGTTCGTAGCCTTTCGCTTCCTGCAGCCAGTAAGAGTAAGTATCTGTCAATCAGATACAGTTGACAAAAGTTTTAAAAATTAATATTTGTCAAAATATATAAGTTATTTAAGAATTGTTAACTTTTGTAAGATTTATTTATGTTCTTTCAATGACGTAAAAAAATTATGTTTAAAACAAAACTCTTGGTATTTTAAATTACAGTGATTCAAATTTTGTATCTGATAATTGAAAACACATATTTTATATAGATTTTATCTTTCAATAGTTTTTATCTTTCAATGTTAATTCCTTTAAAATATTTACTATCAATTGCTTGGATCTGGAAAATAGAAAAAATAAGCTTCATTTTTATTAAAAATTTCTAATCAAAATTTGATGATTTAGAATTTAAAAAGAAATTTCATTATGAAATTAAAACAAAAATTTTGAACTGTTCAAACCAAAACAGTAATATTAAAAAGCAGTAATTTCTCTTTCGAAATAATGTTATAACAAATTATAAATAAATATATTGTTTAAGACGAGAGAACGATGAATTTTGAACTACATATTCGATATTTACGATGTCATTTAATATTATTAAAATTTTCCATAAAATGTTTTTGGCCATTGCTAATTGTTTCTACTCAAAAAGGTATAATAATAAAGGTAACACACTTTGTTTAGCAAGTAAAGTTGCTACATTCAATTTGTCTGCGTTCGTAGCATTTTTTGAACGATTTCTTGGTCTTCCTGTAATTGTGCTTTTTAAAAGTACTTCTTTTCCAAAAAGCTTAAGCGATAACAACTTGGGCAAGTTACTCATGTTACATGATGCTTCACTTGCAACCTTATAGTAGTCTTCAAGAGGTATATAATTATACTCCTCTTCCCATATGCATCTGTAAAAATGAATTATATTATAATAATACTGTAATATAAATATTTAATATTAAATAATCTACATTACAGAGAAATAATAAGCAATTGCATGTATAATATTATTTTTGTCACAAATTGTTTAAATATTACAATATCATTTTTATTATTATTATCTGTCACAATTATATAAATTAATTTTACTCACTTTCTTTCCATCTACCGTTCGTCTTCCCACTGATGGTTCCAATGTTGAGTTACTCAAATTTAATTGCCTATTTCGTTCTTGAAGCGTTACTGGAAAAAATCATTGCAAATACGAAAATCCTATTTATAGTTAAAGCATAAAAAATTAAACTTATTTATATAATACATATTTATAAAAAAATTGATATTATCAGTTACCTCTGAACTCTTGTACACTATCAATTACAAGATCCTGGTGTGCGTAATTTAAATTTCTAAGTTTATTTACTTCTTCTCGAAGTTTTGCAATCTCCTTATCTTTTTCAGTAATAATTACTTCTGTTTGTGAATTACACAAACGTAGTGCCTTTACTTCCTTTTTCAATTCTGAAATTTTTTTTGTATGAAGTTTGCATCTTTGTGTCATTTCCTTATATCCTGTTTTGACTGACACAAAATTTTCTTTGTTGCATGTTTCTTTCGAAATTTCGGAAAAGGTCGTTGATGACTAAAAGAATCAAATTTTTGTTAACCCTTTGTATTCACACTGGGTGTTTACCACCCATTCATTAGCTTTAAATTATTTTACATATAAGACATAATTAAATAGTTATTAATTCTGATTTATTATAAAAATTTTATGATTTTTTTTATTTAAACAAAATTATCCTATATTGTTTAACAATGTTCAAATTAGACAAAAATGTATAATCATGAGAATATTGACTCTCATAACACAAAAGCACTAAATTCTTAAATGTAATCACCGTATACATAATAAATAAAATGAAAGTAGCTCTTATTTTTAAAGAAGCACTATAAATATTACTTTCATAGTTTCAAGTTAAAAAATTTTTTATTTATTAAATGTACCAATAGACAAAACTTCCATCCTATTGCATCCAATGTTTTGTCTTTTTATGCATTAATGTTAGAAAATTTGTAACTCACCTCATGATGTAAATTTTGGGGTCTAAAACTCGTGACTGGACTAGTTAATTCTCCAACTTCTTCAATATTTTTCAATATCTCCGTATGCTCCTACGAAATGTTATTATTCGAAGTGATTTTAATTTTTTTGTTATTTACAAGAAATATATTAAAATTTTTTACTAAAACCGTTACCTGCACTTCATCATTAAATGGTACAATAATGACATCAGTGTTTAGATTCAAATCGATTTCAATACTTTCTGCATTATAAGTGCTCTATAATAATTTATTTAATTATTCATTATTGTAAATAGGTTATTAGAAAGTTAAATTAACTTTTCTCCAAACCGAAGTAATAGATATTCGATTTTTTTCTTTCATTGTAATCAATGATAAATAAGGAATTTTTTTATATTATTATAAAAAAATTATATAAATTATAATAAATATTTTATTTTTCTCCTGTTACTATTTATAATTTATTAAATAAACATTATTTTTTTCTGATAAAAAGGCAAAAACAAATAAACGTTAGGAAGAAAAGGCTATATTATCAAAATATATTCTCGAAACTCTATGCAAGGAACTAAAAAACTGTAAATAGTTTTTTGACGGTGAAGAGCACAACTTGCGCACTTCTTCTATTAGTGATTATAATAAAAGAAAAAAATTTATATGTATAACTATTAAAGCATATACTGCATTAAATGCATTACCAGTTTCTCTGTAGAAGGAGACAATACCACTGCCTGTTCTTGGGTTTCCAACATTATTTGTTTATTTGCTTCACTAAAGTTATCATTACACGAGTTCTAAAATGATTTGACGATAATTAATATAAATTATATAATTCATAATAAAACTTAATGTTTTTAAATGTCAGAAAATTCAAAAGTCATTGTTTGTAGATTTTTTATTTTTAAAATATCAATAACTTTGGATATAATAAAAGGAGAAATTTCAAATACTAAATATACTAAATAATATCTAAATATACTTTTGTATATTTTTAAAAAAATTACATTAGACGCAAACTGAACTTTTAAAAATTGTAATATGAAATACCTTTATCGTGTCGGAAAATGATTGAAATTTTCCAGCGGAAGGTGGTGTTTTTTCAGCGTCTGATGGCGTCATTGTGGTGGATGGTTGAATGACTACATCAAGTAGTGTTTCCTTGTGCAGTGCCTTTGTGGTAGGTAGTTGTATTTCATGTGTGGAGAGTGGAATTGTTTCAGCGGCTGTTGGTGCCTTTGTTGTGAATGTTTGAACCTGTGCACTAGGTACGGTGACTTTGTCTAGTGTCTTTGTGACGGGTAGTTGAGCTTTATTGATAAATCGTCCAAGCGCCCATCCTGCCGGAAGGACGTTCCGAAAAAAAGGCTTTTAAAAAAAGGGAATTCAACTTTTCTTTTCTGGCACTCTTTGGGGTTAAAGTAGACGAAAAGACGAAAAAATACATATTTTTGACTTTTTAAAATAATAATTTAAACCATTTTTCAAAGCCTTCAAACTTGCTATGTTTATAAACAGTGAAAAAAACATTTTTTCGTAAATTTAATGTAAAATCCCCAAAAATCAATATTTTTTGACCGGACAAGTCTCTTTCTCTTCAGAAACGTTCAAAGAATGAAACCTAATTGTTCAATTAAAAAAAAATTCATTTTTAATATTGTTCAGTATATCTGAGTAATACTCAGGCGCGAGTCCCTTCGAAATTGCTCTATAAAATTAATATGGAAGCAGATAAATATAAAACTAAATATATCGTTGGAAAGGTAATGAAACAAGCTTTCAAATGATGTAAATATCGAGTCTTTAAATTTATAAACCTGGGCTAGGTAGTCTCTTAAATAAAGCGAAAAGCGTCCTGCCGGCAGGACCGGGCTTCGTCATTCTGTGACTAAAAATTATGTGAATTTTTGGAACATGTAACTTCTTCAAACTACCCAGCCCTTAGTTTTGAACTTACAAGCTCGATATTTATATGCGCTGAAAGCTTGATTCGTTACCTTTCTAATGATATATTTCATTTTTTATTTATCTGAATCCATGTAAGTTTTCTTTAGTGATTTCGGAGGGACTCACCTGAGTCTTTTTCGTCCTGCCGGAAGGACGTTGGACGATCTATCATTATATGTGGTTGGTGGGGTTTTTGCAGCGGTTGATGGTGTATTTTTTTGGGGTAATTGTGGTTTCTTTGTGGATGATAGTGTATTCGAGGTGGTTGGTTGCCTGTTTGCAGATAGTAGTTGTTTTGATGCAGCCGCAGTTAAAGAGTTTTGCAATCGAACATTTTGTAACTGTTCTTCTAAACATTTTTTCACGTTTGATGTGCTGTAAGGTCCCTACAAAAAATTACATTGTTACTAATTTTTGTAAATTGTTATGATTTAGCATCATATTTTCATTCTTTAAGCACCTTTTTGGTTTTCAACTGAGTCTTCTTCCTTTTTTTAACTTGACGTTCTTCCTCCGTTGACGAATCAGTGGCAGACAGCAGAGTTTTTAAAGTAGGAATGGTTTTCCTTTTCTTATTCTCGCTTTCTTCCTTGGATTTTAATTCTTGTACTGTTGCTGTTGAAAGATATGTAATTTTAGTTTAAATAACATTATTTTATACATTTTTTCGTCCCATTGGAAAAAAATTTTTAAGAAAAAAATTATTTCAAAGTAAATTTATTTATTTTTTATTTATTTCTACAGTTTTAATACAATTTTTATTTTATTTCTTAAGTGGTGTTTATAAAAATATTTAAAAAAGTAGTTTTATGTAGTCTGTCTGATAAAACTTCTTATAAGTTTATATCAAGGCTGATAAAAATCACGATTTAAATAAAAACTTTTAAATTATTATTTTTGGACTAAAATATAATTTAAAAGGATTTTCTTAATAAAAAAATTAAAAACATATTTTAAGAAAATTTGTAGATGATATCATTGTTTTCAATTCCTTTAAAAATCCAAACTTTTTTTTAAAATAATTTTTTTTAATGAAATTGGTTTATTGTTATTTTTACCTTTAACAAAAGTCTAATTTTTTAATTTTTTAAACATTTTTTTGTTTAAAGCTGTTCTTTATACTGAATTTCTAATAATTTTAATATAAAAAAATTTGTCATTTTTTATGAGAAAGCATAATGCTCGTGAAATGAACATAAACTTCTTTTATATAAATAATTATGCTCTTCTTCTTTTACATATTTTAAAATAGAAATATCTTTCATAAATACAATTTTTAATTTGACTAATAGAATGCAAAATAAAGTACATTTTAATTTCAAAAATAAACAAGCAATTCATTTAAACGATAAGTTTTATCGAATCCACACACTTAATAAACAATAAATATTATTACTTTGCGATAGAATAAGTAATATTTATTTTGGAATCGTTGGTAAATCTTCTGGACTTCTACTATGAATATCTTTTTTCTCTTCCGAGAAACGAAAAATATATATATTTCTCCGAATGTAAATCTTAATACTTAATTGTTCAAATAATATATTTTTTAACTTACCTCCTACAGAAAGCACTATTCCTTCAAAAAATCTATCCTTCAACAAGATTTTGTACTTTTTTTCTGCAGGTATGAAATTGTTTACTTTAAATGATGGTATACAGCTCAAAGGTAAAGTCATGTATCTACTTCCATCATAAATAAAAACAGATGCATATTGCACGTCACTTGAAACTTTTAACATTTTCAAAAATATTTTTTTTAACTACACAAACTCAACGAAGTTACTTAAAACGCAGCCGCTCAATAAATACTTGTTGAATGCATCCATGCCGTGAAAAACTGAAAAGTCGAAATAGTAGGAGGCAGGTTATTCAACAGTACTGTCTCATCTACTTAAACTATGGACATTTGTTATCGGTAATATATCTGTTAATTTCTACAATATTTCACTTAAAAATTATATTTTTTAAAACTAAATTGTTAAAAAAAATTTTAGGAAACTGGAAATAGTATTGTAAAAAAAATTTTATAAAGCAGGTCCGACAAATAAGTGCAGGTTATGATCAGCTGATTTAACAGTTGTTTCAATTCTACGTACTAACGGTCATTTTAAAGTTATTTTATATGATTATCGTTAACAAAAACAGTGTATTGTGAATATCTTATTAATGAAAAGACATACTATTATTGTTTGCTAAAAAGTTAAACGTTTTTAAAATATTTTTTCATAACAGTACGTAATATACACATGATCATGATAATTTATATTTGGCAAAAATATGTTTAAAAAATGTGAATATAATGAATTGAATATCCGCATTAAATTTTCAAGATTTTATATTATATAATAATAATTTTTGTTTGTAAAAGATTCTAAAAGTAATTCCAGCTTACATATTTACAGGCTTTATCAACTACGGTGTGAAAATGGATTTATTGGATGCAAAATTAAAAGAATGTGTTGACAGCGAACATTCTTATTGTAAGGTTAAGGGAAAACGAAAAGTTAAAAAACTAGAAGCAATGAAAGTCAAGCTTGACATGGAGTACCGTAAGTGAACCCTAATATTCAATGCAAAATGTTAAAACAATTAGAGTTGCTATAGTCATGATGAACCTGGAAACGTCAAGAAATTTTAAAACATATTTTTTAAAAAATTAATTTGTTTTATTTTAATCACGTACATTTTTAAATGATGAAATTGAAAATACTGCCAATTTTTTTAAACAATATCTGATTTTATCCTTTTAAAGATTCTCCACAATTCTCTTTTTGAAATTATATCGGTTAATGATTTTTTTTATATAATATAAAAGACAAATTTTTATTAACAAATTTTTTATTTTTAAAAATTGTCGGTGCTCGGTTTGTTTCCCCAAATTTTTTTTATGTTATGATCAAATTCTTATTAAAATATCTCTAAACTATTAGAAAACTAAAATTTTGCTTTATACAATTTTCTCTACGATTTTATTGAGAACTTTAGTTTTATCAAATTTTCAAAGTAACCTACTTTTTAAAGTTAGTTTTAAAGTACAATTAAAAGTTAAAAATATTAAAGAAATCAAATAAAAAATGCTAGCCAAAATTTTAAAAAAATTGTAGTGGTTAACAATTTTTTATTAAAAGCGAATTATTTGAACAATGAAATGTATTATTTACAATATTTATTAAAAACCAAAGTACTTAGAAAATATTTGTTATTAGTGTAGTAAATATTTGAAAAAATATGTGGAAATAATACATGGTTTGATTAAAAAAAATTCCATTAAATCAAAAAAATCTTATTTTTTAAAGAAATAAATCATGATTTTTTATCAGACCTGTAGGCAATATTTTTTAGAGTAAAATGAGATATTGTTTTTAAAAATGGTACAAAAATTACAATTTTAAGAAAAAACATAAAATTTTTAATAATTATTACAGTCAGGTCCCCACACTGTTAGATTCCAAACTGTTATGTCCTCAGTAGTGTTATGTTTTTGCATAACCTCCAAATTCAGAAGTGTTAGGTGACGTCACCAATTTTCAGGGCCGTATTCTTAAGCCCAAAGAAAAGGGGGCATATACTTCTAGGCCAAACTTGAGGTTTATATATTTACGTTCCTGAAAGGTGCGCAGTAGGCATACTTTGAGCACATAACAGAGCTGAGTCTGGAGGAGTGGGAAATTTCTGGAAATGTAACAGTATGGGGACCCGACTGTATTTGACAACAGATTTTAACTTATCATTAAAAGTTAAATATTGTGACATTTTTTAAGAATAATAATATGTTCACAGATTAATAAAAAAAAATTAATATAAATTCGTAACCATTCCGTAAAAAACGACTAAACATGTACTACTTTTTCCTTTCTATGTTATTTTAAAAAGTTAAAAAACGTAAGAAAGCCTTATAATATTTTGATCCAATAAAATTATATTAATATTATTTCATTTGTCATTATTAGGTGAGGCTGAAAAAAATCCCAATCTGGAGAGATATTTCAATAGTCTTCATAAATCAAAAAGGATGATACACAGGATAAGAAAAACGCGATCTGTGATATCGTAAACGAGCACGAAGTCAGGAACGAAAATGCAGATGACAATGTTAATTGTGCGATAAGAGTGAGCATGAACGTCAAGGATGCGATAGAAATGAGCATGGATGTGAGCGAAGAAGGAAATTGTAAAGATAGTGATTATGAAAAAAATGAAGACTGTGAAAAAGAGCCTTATAGTGATTGTGAAGAAAGTAACAGCGAAATTTCTTCAGATGAATCTGATGAAGATCTTCCAAATTCTCCAAATTCAAGGTGGAATAATGTTTTAATGTTTCCACAATCCGATCTCTCCGTCGATGAAGTATTAGAAATGTTGTTTGGATATTTTATCCAGTTTAGTGTAGGGGAAAAGGCTAGATTAAAATTATTGGAATTAATAAAAATTTTTGCAGGTCCCAAGTTTAAAGATCTTAAGATTTCAAATTATATAATAAATAAGGAACTCGATCCTCCAGAAGATAAAATAATATATCATTATTATTGCGATAAATGTCAGCAGGAAGTTGTGCACTCTTCTGCAAAGTTCGGTATAAAAAACAGAAAAAAACTTGTACTAAATGTGAAAACAAAGTTGATATTAGTCTTAGTAATCCTTCTTTTTTTCTGTCTTTAAATTTAGAATATCAATTACAATTACTTATGCAGAATAAGGAAATATCAAATGCTCTATGGCAAAAAGTAAGCGGAAATGTTAAAGATGCAGGAAATATATCCAATATAATGGATATTCAAAGTTCCGGGCTATACAGAAATACAGCCGCAAAATTTCCTGCAACAATTACTTACAACTTAAGTACCGACGGTGCGCCTCTAAGTAGTGGTAAATCTTCTCCTCGTAGTTTTTGGCCCCTTAAAATCACTATCAATGATTTACCTCCTAATATAAGATACAAGTACGTACAACTTGTCAGCATTATGGTAGTATCGAAAGAACCGAAACCTGAACTTATGAAATTGTTTATAGATCAATTCAAAGTGGAAGCCCGAGCACTTCACGAAAAGGGAATGAAATTTACGTTTAAAAATGATGGAATTGAAAGGACAAAAACATTTACTGTACTTTGCATTATTGCAGATTCGGTAGCTCGAGCAGTACTTCAGTTTAGAATGCAATTTAATGCGTACATGAGTTGCACTTATTGTTATCTTATGGGGTTTTTTTTAAATTGCGTAAAATTTCCATTTATCGGGAGTGTTTCTGCTAGTTTAAGAACTCATGAATCTCATATGAAAAACGTGTTTATGGTAGAAAAAAATGGAAAACCTGTCAACGACGTTAAAGGACGATCATCTTTCTGCGACTATCCCAATGTAGATATGGTTAAAAGTTTTACTTTGGACGCAATGCACAATGATGTGCTAGGAATAACTGAACAAATATGGGATTTAATGCGACCAAAACTAAGTGTATTCCAACGAAACGAAATGGATACAATGCTAATAAAAATTCAGCCACCTCATGAGATTCACAGAATTCCAGCAAAATTAAGCAAGAAAAGCTTGTGGAAATCTTACATGTTATATTATAGCATTCCTCTTTTGCATCAAATCTTACCCACTGATTTGTTTCATTTGTTAGAACATTACGCGTTATTTGTCAACTCTATGTATACTTTGTCTACTACAAATATTACTGCTGAAGATTTGCAGCAATGCAAAGAGGACATGATGTCTTTTACGGCAAATGTGGAAATCGATTACGGTCTAACTGCAATGACTTTTAATATGCACTTAGGAAGTCATGCAGTGACAAATGTCAAAGAATCAGGTCCCTTATGGGCAACTTCAGCTTTTCCTTACGAAGGAAATATTTTTGTTCTAAGGAGAGCAGTTAAAGGGCCAAAAGGAGCTGCGCAACAAATGTCGAAAAAGTCTTTACACAGAACTTTATTTAAGCTTAGACATAGGAAACACATGCAGGAACTTGTTCGCGACTTTTGTGATAGCTGCATGAACGAAAAAAGATTTACGGCGAAAGCTGTTTCGAGCAATAATATTAATTTTTTTGCTCCTTATACGTCGAAAGAGTGTCCAAATGACTCTGAAACATTTTTACGGTGCACGTATAACAATTTCATTTTAACATCTGTAAAATACACTCAAAATAAATCATTTAATGACACTGTAGTTAAACTTAAGAATGACGATATTGTTCAAATTATTGATATATGTTTAAAAAATGACGGACATGGCTTTTTAATTGTCAATAAATTAAATCTTCGATTATTACAAATCAGCACTGTAACAATGAAACACATATTTTTTGTTCTCTCGTCTCCTTTGCAACAATTCTCTGTTCCTATAACTGATGTAGAAGCGAAAATGGTAGTTATCGATTTAGGAAAAAAACAGTGTGTCTGTCACATACCAAACACTTGGGAAGCCCAATAATTTGATTACTAATGACAAAAAGTGTAAATTTTTCTCATCTTTTGTTCGACGTATTTTTTATAACGATATTTAAAAATTAAATAATATGTACATATAGCAATTAAATAAAAATTTTATTATTCCTTGTGCTGCACTATTTCATGTTTCATTAAATAATTTTTTTCACTTCTTAATCATATATTTTTTCTTTAACATATTGTTTTTATTTTTACTAATTTATTAATTTTTAAATATTTCATTATGTAGTATGTATATCATTTGAAATATTTAAATTCACACTTCATTGAAATCTTTTTTCTAATTTTATTCATTTCCCTTAGAAATAAAGCAGTAATTTATATATTAATTATAATAAATTAATTTTGTAATATTTTTTGTAATTAATTTGTAATTTTCAATAATATTGTATTAACAATAATATTTTATTTTGCTGAATTATCTCTTTTTTAAAATGAGAAACCGAAATCTACAATTATATATTACCATATGAGGAGTATTGAGAGTGGATAATGAAGTGTTTTTCTTTATCAGAATCCTCACTTCTTTACCCACGATTCAATATGGACGATCAAACGACAAAAATCCTTATAAATGCATATTAAAAGGAATTATTTTCATGAAAGTCTATACTCCAAGGTTATTTTCGCCGCTGATTACGAATCTGAGGTCAGATTTTCAAAATTCAAAATGGCCGATCCAATATGGCGGTCGAAATTATGAAAAATTAGTCAAATCATACTGATACTCAGTATTCCAACAGTTTTCGAGTCGCTGATTACGAATCTGAGGTCAGATTTTCAAAATTCAAAATGGCCGATCCAATATGGCGATCGAAATTATGAAAAATTAGGCAAATCATTCTGATACTCAGTGTTTCAACAGTTTGCGAGTCGCTGATTACGAATCTGAGGTCAGATTTTCAAAATTCAAAATAGCCGACCCAATATGTCTCGAAATTATGAAAAATTAGGCAAATGATTCTGATACTCAATATTCCAACAGTTTTCAAGTCGCTAATCACAAATCTAAGGTCGGATTTTTTGAATCATGGCTTAACCATGGTAACAAAATAAGTGATAAAAAAGAATGTCTAGATAGCCATTTTTATTTGTATGAAACTTCATGTATTCAGACATTCTTTTTTCTTAATCTAGAGTGGACTTCGTTGATGCTGTTTACGTTTTTAAATTGTATTTTCCATTTTGTCATTTATGCTATTTCTTAATTACAACCTATCTTCAATTATTTTTTGTTAATATTTATTGCTTTGTTCCTTTTTATCATATTAAGTTCGGAATTATCTTATTTTCAAAGTGAAGCTTCTTAATGTTTACTGCTTACTTATTATTGTTTGTATTTTGATTTTTAAATTAAAAACAAAAAATATCGGAAGATATTCTGATGAAAAAATTAGAATATAAATTCTTCTGTATACAACTCTAAGAATTTTGAATCTATAATTTTTGTTATTTATGCATCAAATGAAAATGATGTACTCAAACAACGTAACAAAGATCGGCTCGACAACCTCCATTAGTGCAGAAACTGATTCTTAGAAACAAATATCAATACACAACAAATCCTTCCTTCATGTTCTATCGGACATTTTGAATTTTGAAAATCCGACCTCAGATTCGTGATCAGCGACTCGAAAACTGTTAGAATATTGAGTATCAGAATCATTTGTCTAATTTTTCATAATTTCGACAGACATATTGGGTCGGCCATTTTGAATTTTGAAAATCTGACCTCAGATTCGTAGTCAGTGACTCGAAAACTGTTGAAATACTGAGTATCAGAATAATTTGACTAATTTTTCATAATTTCGACCGCCATATTGGATCGGCCATTTTAAATTTTGAAAATCTGACCTCAGATTCGTAATCAGTGACTCGAAAACTGTTGGAATACTGAGTATCAGAATCATTTGTCTAATTTTTCATAATTTCGACAGACATATTGGGTCGGCCATTTTGAATTTTGAAAATCTGACCTCAGATTCGTAATCAGCGGCAAAAATAACCTTGGAGTATAGACTTTCATGAAAATAATTCCTTTTAATATGCATTTATAAGGAATTTTGTCGTTTGATCGTCCATATTGGATCGGCTATTTTGAATTTTGAAAGTTGCAATGCAGATTCTTAAGGAGTATAGGCCTCAGTCCCAAAATATACCTTTAGCAACATTTCTAGAATTTATTTGTGCAAGTTGTTTCAGTTTCAATGTTCATAACTTTTAACAAATACGAAAATAACCAAATTTAGACACTTACAGCACAGACGCCATTTTGAATTTTGGAAATGCGGCAAGGGTTTCAAATTCTGTGATACTTGAAGCTTCATGCCACCAGTGCATTCATCTTCATTAAAAATTGACGTGGTTACAGAATTTCGACGCCTCTTACTACATTTTGCCCCACTGTGCCACGTGGAGGTCGACTAGTTTTAATGTTATAAAAAAATTCTAAATAAAATATAAAAACAGTTAAAAACACAAAAAAATTTAAAAATGAAAAAGTAGGGTGATGTGGGGTGATGTGAAACATGGGGGGCTGTGCAACACCGCCAATTTCTGATCTATAGTTCGATATTGAACAGAGCCAATTTATTTTATAGATAAGAATGTGCTTATTGTTGCTTTTTTAAGTGTTTTTAAATATCTTTTTATATTTTGTGTTTCCATTGCATTGTATTGCGTACAAATCATTTTTCACAAAATATCATATTTGGGGTGATGTGCAACACTTTTTTTGGGGTGGACGTAACTACTTTTTACGTGCCATAACTGCGACTCACATTATAAATAAAAAATGATTAGTTATTTTTCTTTAATTATATTCCTTATTCAGTTATAAATAAATAAAAATTTAAACAAAAAAAATTTTTTTTCTTTGGTGAAATCTCCACTTTTTAGAGGTCAACTATACCTTAGTAAATTTTTTTTGCAGATTTCGATTAGTTTATATTGAAAAAGCTTAAAATTAATCATTAAAGAGATTTTTATCGATATTTATGCATTACATACCTGAATTTTACTGGTGTTGCACATCACCCCAACTTTTTTGGAAAATGCAAAAACAGACGTTTTTGAAAAAGCGAAAACTTTGTAGGAAAGATTTAAAATTCTGAAAATCTAATAATGCAGAAATATTCTATTATAATGCCTCTAAGTCATTCATTTTTAAAATATTTAAAAATTTTAATATTTGACATGTTTTTCGTCCAACGAAAAAAAACGTTGCATATCACCCCACAACACCCTACAACAAAATTGAAAAATTAATAAATAGAAAAAAATATTAAAAAATTTTTAAAAAAATTTTAAAAAAAGAAGACTTGCACTTTTAAAATTCGTAATTAGCGACCCCAAAAACCCCCGAGTAAGTAATTCCATGCAATTTTATCTATTTTTAAAAAATTTTATCCCCCATATTGGATCCGCCATTTTGAATTTTAAAAATTGAACTTCATATTCGTAATCAGCGACCCCAAAAACCCCTGAGTGAGTAATTTCATGCAATTTTATCGATTTTCAAAAATTTTTATTCGACATATTGGATCTGCCATTTTGAATTTTTAAAATTAAACTTTATATTCGTAATCAGCGACCCCAAAAACCCCCGAGAAGTAATTTTTAGATGATTTAATTAAAAAACTGTCCTTTTTAGAATAGGGCCCATATTGTCGATTTTTCGTATTTTCAAAATTAAGAGGGGGGGATTGTTTTAAAAATTTAAAACCTGTTGGTTTTTTATCTTCAAGGTGCCCTGAACTGGAAACAATTCTTATCTGAATAACTTCCAAGAAGAACCAGAGATACAATAATTAGTTGGTATCTCAATCTTTAATTCCGTTTTTCTCGAAATGAGGTTCTTGGCGTTCTAAACTTTGAAATTCCGTAACTCAGCGAATTTTTAACCAAAAAAGTTCTAAGACAACTCAAAATTTTCTAAATTTTGCCAGGAATACGCCTATATAGATAACTTTAATAGTGCCAAAATGGGCCCTTTTCATGTGGACGTCCACATATAATAGAATGGATTATTCAAATGTTAATTTTTGAAATTTACTAACAAATTAAAGTAAATTGAGGTAGGTAGTTACCTTGTTATGTTTCACTAATTTTAACTTTAAGTTATGTTTTTTAACTATTAAAACAGTTGGCTGCCTCACCCCACGTTTTTGCAAATATACCAAAAACGTGATCCTTTAGGAAAGCGGTTGTAGAAATTTTTAAGTGCAACCTACGTCAAAAAGTTCTATGGCGATTTTTTTAGCCAAAAAGACAAACTTTCTAACGCGACATTAAAATTGAAAAAACCTATTCAAATAACTGCCTCACAAACCAAAATGTGCCGTCTTGGCTGCCTCGCTCTGTTCGACTCTACACCGCAATTAAACTTTTTTTTGGTGGTGCCTGAGAAAAATCACATTATCTCGCTCAATTCTCAATATTTTTTCATGAAAACTTAAATAATCCATTTATTTATTTTATGTTATTTTATATTATTACTGTATTATTTATTTATTATTATTTTTTTTACTAATTTTCTACATTGTATTATTATTTTTCATTAATTTTTTTTATATAGTGATTCTTTATTTATTTTAATTTTTTACTAATTTTCATTATTTTATTATTAATTATTAGAGGTGTGCAAAAAGCTCGAAGCTCGATCAAGCTTTTTCGAGCCTAATCAGTTCGAGCTCAGTAAAAGTTTAGCCGAGCTGTGTAAAAAGCTCGAATAATTTCGAGTACTCGAACGTTTCGAGTGAATTCGAGTACTCGATTTCACTCCAGTGCTCGAATTTAATCAAGTACTCGAAGTCACTCGAGTACTCGATACATCGAGCCGGCTCGGGCTCGGCTCGAAAAAATTTCGGCTCTGCTCGGCTATTCGAGCTTTTTGCACACCTCTATTAATTATTAATTTCTTTTTTTTAATTTTTCAATTATTTTTATTTTTTTTTCTCGGGTGAAATTTGCTGTTCTCAAAATACAGTATTGGTGTTCTCCACAACATATTACTGTCTCTCACTTGCATATGGTTGTTCTACACTGCGTATGGCTGAAACAGCCATACTGTATGGCAGTTCCGTATCCACCAATATAATATGTGAGAATGGGTTATATTTATGGCAGTACCATAAATATATTTTGTTAGTGTAGTTTATAAGAAAATCAATTTCATTCGACCTGAAACGATTGCTTTAGTAGAATATTTAAAAATATTTGTTCTTTTATTATCTCAGGTATGGAATTGCTGGTACAACAAATATTCAAGGAGAAGAAGTAAAAAAATTAGATGTACTCAGTAATGAATTATTTATTAACATGGTATCATCTTCGTTTACTACATGTTTACTTGTTAGTGAAGAAAATCCAACAGCCATTGAAGTTGATTGCGATAAGCATGGAAAATATATTGTCTGTTTTGACCCACTTGATGGATCTTCCAACATTGATTGTCTAGTTTCAGTGGGATCTATTTTTGGAATCTACAGAAAACCAAGTAATTCTAAAATACCATCAGTTAAGGATGCTCTTCAGCCAGGTAAAAATTTAGTTTCTGCGGGTTATGCACTTTATGGATCTGCCACAATGATGGTTCTTTCAATTGGTCAGGGTGTTAATGGATTCACTTATGATCCAGCGATTGGAGAATTTATTTTGACTGAGAAAAATATGCAGATACCAATAAAAGGAAAAATTTACAGGTATGTTGTTAAATGAAAAAATGAATATTTTTATTACTTCTAACTCTGGTACAAATGATTATTACACTGAAAGACTTTTCGTTTTAAAAAATGATTGAATATATATGAAACTTTATCATGGCAGCGTTTCAAAATGGGGAAAACCGTGTTTTCGTTTCAAAAATTAATATGGCGCATACTAACCTTTTCAACGACAACTGAAATTAATATATTCATTCCAATTAATAGAAAAAATGTATTAAATATTTAGAAGAAATCTATTACTTTTCCATACAGAATATATTAAAAATTTGGACGTATATCTTTAAAAAAAAATGCGTCAACCAATCACAATGCGAATTTACAAAATCTACTGCGCTTGCGTAGTATTAATGCATTTTTATGAATATAAACCAATTTTAACCAATGAGGGGAATTTTATTTCTATTGAATTCTCCTCAATTATTCGCAGATAACATATATGTAAGTTTTATACAGACGTGACACACCATTCACAAACCTCTTTTAGCTGGTCTTATATATTAAATCTAGACATATTTCTGCACCTGCGAGAAATCAAGTTATTTAAAAAATTTAAGAATATTAAGTAAAAAAAATCACTATTTATTAAAACTGATTGTTCAAAATCTTTATTTTCAATTAATACTAACAGTAATATTAAAATAAAAATAATAATTTATAATAATTATGTATAATAACAATAATTATTATTTATTTAAATAAAAGTTTGATCTTTAACGTAACCTCAAAAACAATGCGATATTAGTTACACAGGTTACACATTAGACAACTTGAGAATAATAATTTTTAATGCTTTATCATACTCACGTATTGTTCTTTGATGAATATTATTTAAAACTTCATATATGTAAAAAGTTTTCTTAAAATATGAGAGCACAATTTGCACTGTTTACACTAAGAACATTGAGCCATTAAAATGTATGCGAACGATGCAAACAAAAATACTCGGAAACTCTCGGGATCACTCGGAACGATTCGGAGAACATTTAATAAGATGCCATATGAAAAATTGAATCATTGAAAAAATTCTATTGGAAAAAATAAAAATTTCATATGGGCATATCTCTAGAACTTTTAAACTTTTAGGTATTGGAAAACTTAATTTTTCTTTTCAAGGCACAATCTTGAAATTAATTTGTCATAACGCAGTGCAAAAAAGGGCACTTTTTTGCACCTTGTTATGAAAAATATCGTTCGTAACTAGTGCGAGCAGTTGCCAATTTTTGAACGAGCACTTTTTTGGAACAAACTGTAGGCGAAGCGAAGCTTCGCCTACAAAAAAAAGTGCTCCTTCAAAAATTGACAACTGCTCGCACTCGTTACGAAATATACTATAATTGTCTTGTGCATTGATCAAATAGTAGAAAAAACCTTGCGATACTCATTTCTACACATTGTTAACCCCCCTGTGTATGAGTTTAACCCCAAGAAAATGTTTCTAAATGCATAGATTTTTCATAAAGTTGGATTTTCACATCAATCGGTATCTTGGGGTTTTTAGGGTAGCTGACTATGAATATAATGTTAATTTTTCAAAATGCAAAATGGCGGATCCAATATGGCGGACGAAATTTTAAAAAAATTAATGGAATTCCACAGCATCATATTCAGGGGTTTTTGGGGTCGCTGATTATGATTCTATAGTCGGATTTCGAAAATTCCAAATGGCGGATCCAATATGGCGGATGAAAATTTAAAAAATAATTCAATTTACACAGAAGTGGGTATGAAGGGGTTTTTGGGGTCGCTAATTATTATGAATCTGAATTTAGTTTTTTAAACATTTTAAAAGTGGTTTTAAAATGTCATAAAAATTATTGATATTTTAAATGCGGTTCTTAAAATATTTTGGAATTAATTATAATTAAAAAGCAATAGAAGTAAATAAATAAATAACCATGAGATATAATTATTTTAATATTCTAAAAAAATTTCTAGTTTTATTTTATATTAAAAGTACAAACAGTATGAACAAAAAATGAATAACATTTAATTGAAAGTTTTACTTCTCTTTCTTTATCCATAATTAATATTATATTAATAAAATACATAATATCTACATTCGGCAATCAAAACATTTTGACACATTAAAAATAATATTACCATGGAAACTTAGAAAAAAAGAAGTTTACAATTCTAAAAACAGAATAAAATTTAAATAATAAATTAAATGAATAATTTAAAATTAAATTAAGCTTATGAAAATAAAATGAAATTTAAAATTGATTAATTCTTGTTATCTTTTAAATTCTTTCATACTGTTAAAATTTCAAAAATTTTAAGTCCTATTATCTATAAAAGTCTAGTAAATTCTTTTTAACAATTCTTGAATTACATTCAAATCATTATATAACAACGAGAAGTTCAAAAGAAATCATGCAAAAAGATTTGATTTTTCAGAAATGTATCCACCATATTGGATTTTCTATTTAAAATTTTTTAAAAATTATTTCAAATTTGTAATCAGCAAAACAGGAAACTAGCACTGGCATAACTCTGGGATGATAACGCTGTCTAACGCTGGCGAAGTACTGCCTGCCAGTGCTGACAGACAGCGCTGGCGCAGCACTGGACCAGTGCTGGCTGAGAATATTGCCGCAATAAATGCCGTATTGTTATTAATTGGTATTAAATTAATAATTATAAATAATTTAACAACAAAATGGTAAATAATATTAATAAATAGTTATTATTCATAAAATATTTCTCTTCTTAAAGAAATTGTATTAAAGATGGAGACTAACAATGGATATAGTAAATGAAGTAGAAAAAAATTGTTTATAACATTTAAAAATTAAATAATAAACAGTTACAGTAAGTGTGCATTAGATTTTCATATTTTGGTACCTTACGATTGGAATCTAGAAATATCGCAAACCTATGAAAATAAACAAAATTGCTAACGAGGGGAATCGAACCTACGACCTACGGACTAACAGACTAACGCTCTAACCACTATGCTAACGACACATGTGTACAGTAAAGTATTAATATCTCAGTATCATTCAGACATACAATTATTGAGTCAAAGATGAGAAAAAATAGGGATACGTTAGAAATAATAAATTGAAATAAAATAAATTAAACTAAATTTTTAATAATTAAATTACTTTACTTATAGCATTTAATATTTTACGTCATTCTTAAATTACGTGGTAATTTTTTAATAATTTTTTATTCATATTAAGAAGTATAATAGTATTTTAATAGGAACCAAATTATTATTGAGATTAAAGTTTAAATTTTGTTTATAATTTTAATTTGTTTAAATAATTTATTATTTACAAAATTAGACAATTATGTTAAATTATTATTATTAAATTTAATAAAAGGGTCAGTCCATTATATTTCACCTGAAGCCGTTCCGGCCTATTTTTAAAAAAATCTCATAATTTGTAAAAATGATGTTTAATATCCATAGAATTCATTTTTGAGAATTCTTTTATAAAATTTTTTGAATTAAACTTAGAATTTTTATTTTTAAGTTGGTTAAAATGCAAGTAGATTTTTGCAAACCTATTGAGATAGCCAACTTCAGTGTTATAAAATTACCTGCATTTTAACCAACAAACTCGCTTTTGGAAGCAGATTTTTTAAACATGAATAAAACTACAAAGTAGCTCGTTCTCCAACACCAAAATTTAATAGAATGGAAAAGAAGGTCAAACTTAAATATTAAGACAAAAATGGGATTTTTTGGTCTTGCACTTGAGAAGAAATAAGTGATTAAAATCACTGAAAATCATGAAACATTCAATATTAAAGGTAAAATTTTTCATATTTCTTTATTATAAAATTAAAAAGTTAGCACATAATATGAAAGTATATTGAAAGTACTTTACATTATGTAGTAATAAATTTTTTAATATTTATAAACTTTTTAGAAAAGTGTAAATAAAATGTAGTGACTTTTGACATTTTATAGTTAAGTTTTAAAATCAATTTTTATCTATTATTTTGGGTATGTTTACATAATAATCTATTTATACAAGTAAATTAGCTCATTTTTAACAAATATCAATCAAGAAATTTGTATTATCTAAATTATTTCCATGCTTTTTTATTAACCCCTTAACTGTTTGAGGAAAATACAACATGATTGTCCCAAACTGCCCAGCCGAATCTGATACTTTTTCAAATAGTATAATATATTTAAATTATAACTAATTATTCAATTATTTTCTAAAATATCATTAACGACCCTTATAATTTCTTATAATATTGATATAAAGAAAAATATCTATCAATTTATATACAAATTATATTTATTTCAAGTGGTAGTGAACACGACCCACAGGTGGGTCGGAAACAGTTATGGCCATACTTTTTCACGATCCACCCGTGGGTCGGAAACAGGCAACGGGTTAAATTTTCAGAACTGTCAATCTAACCTTTTTACTGTGCAACTCAACTTAAAAATTAAAATTCTAAGTTTAATTCAAAAAATTTTATAAAAGAATTCTCAAAAATGAATTCTATGGATATTAAACATCATTTTTACAAATTATGAGATTTTTTTAAAAATAGGCCGCAACGGCTTCAGGTGAAATATAATGGACTGACCCAAGAATAGAAAATGAACAACTGAAAAGTAAAATATTAATTTTTTTCAATAAATTTATATTTATAAATATTCATAAACTTTTTTTATAATTTTTTTCAAGTTTATGTCAAAAAAGCAATGTTGGCAAAGAGCGTTGTGAACAATTTTTCTATACTCAGCCAGCACTTGCCGCCGTGGCTTGTCCAAGCTTTGGCGAAACAAAAATTCTGTACTGCGCCAGCACTAATTGTCGAGGCTCGGCTAGACTACGCCCAACAATCGTCTGAGTACTTAGCCAGTGGTGAACATCGGCACTACACTGGCATTTTCCATTGGGTATTATACTAATAAATATCACTTGTTAATTTTTTTAAGGCTTATAAATGCTTTCTTTTAGAAATATAAGCGAAAACGGCGCTGCCCCAGCGTGTGGGGCAAAGGCTAAATAGCAACTATTAAAATTTCTTGTTAATTAGTTTTAGAGTAATGGAAAAGAAAGACCACATAAATTAATTGCTCAATTTAAAAAATATACATCGATAAATGTAAACCTAGCGCCTTTGCCCCGCACTCCCCTAATCATGAAGATTTAGAAAAAAGAACAATCGTTTTGGTAAAACTTTTTGATTTTTTAACCTATAGAGTGATTTGAAACGAAAAATTACATTTTTCGCCACTGTGAGTCCTATGAAAACATAATTATAAAAAGTTTGCTGCAAATTGTTTGAAAACCTTTGTTCTATTCGAGAACCCTTATTTCAGAGCATTCAAATCCATTAAAATTTATATATATGTTACCGGCAAAACCCGAAGCCCAGGCAAAACCCGAATTGCCTAGGCAATTCGGGTTTTGCCTATGATTTTAGGAAATACCCGAATTTCCTAGAGATTCATAGGCCAAACCCGAATTGCCTAGGCAAAACCCGATTTCCCTAGGCAATTCGGGTTTTGCCAAAGCCGTTTTAGGCAAATTGAAAATCAAACTAAATTGAATTAAATTAAATTTATTGCAAAAAATATTACTATGACGCAATTGATCATAAGAAAATAGTCTTAGTTGAAAGAATTTCTTTTTCAATTTACCAAATGGCTTGTATTGAGTCATGCATTGATGTAAACAAATAGTAAACGAACTGTTCTTCATAGCTTACTATTAATTAGTGTCTCTTTTGACTTTAAATTGTACATACCATTCGAAATGAGTAACGAAAATTTTATTCAAAAATGGAAAAGCGATTTTTATGCGGCGGTAAATAAATCTGCAAATTATAAAATAATTGTGCAAGAGAAATATGATGATATTTTAAAGGATGTGAAAAGTGGAAAATTAAATGTAGTAAAAAGTAGCCTTAAGTACAGAAGGTTGAAAAGATATGACATTTTAGAAGTTGCGGGAGTACAAAAATTGATTTTAAAAAAAAATTAACCGCCGCATAAAAATCGCTTTTCTATTTTTGAATAAAATTTTCGTTACTCATTTTGAATGGTATGTACAATTTAAAGTCAGAAGAGACACTAATTAATAGTGAGCTATGAAGAACAGTTTGTTTACTATTTGTTTACATCAATGCATGCCTCAATACAAGCCATTTAGTAAATTGAAAAAGAAATTCTTTCAACTAAGACTATTTTCTTATGATCAATTGCGTCATAGTAATATTTTTTGCAATAAATTTAATTTAATTTAATTCAATTTAGTTTGATTTTCAATTTGCCTAAAACGGCCTTGGCAAAACCCGAATTGCCTAGGGAAATCGGGTTTTGCCTAGGCAATTCGGGTTTGGCCTATGAATCTCTAGGAAATTCGGGTATTTCCTAAAATCATAGGCAAAACCCGAATTGCCTAGGCAATTCGGGTTTTGCCTGGACTTCGGGTTTTGCCGGTAACATATATATATATATATATATATATATATATATATATCTTATCAAACCTACTTATTTTACTTTTACTGATCATTTTACTTCAAAAAGTTTATTTGTCATTGTACGAATCACAAAAGTTTATTTTTTATTATAGCATCAATGAAGGAAATGAAAAATCTTTAAGTTTGGATATTAAAGATTATATCTACTCAAAGAAGTATCCATCTAGTGGAAAACCTTATAGTGCGCGATATGTTGGTTCAATGGTGGCCGATGTACACAGAACAATCAAATATGGTGGGATCTTTATGTATCCAGCAACAAATGATAATCCAAATGGAAAAGTAAGTTTTTTATGAAAGGAAAGAAATTAGTACCTGCATCTTTATTTTAAAGAACAATGAGGTTAAAGAATTCATAGTTGGATCTTATTTTAAAATATTCAGGAAATATTAGGGTAATGTCACATTGAGTGGACCGCCACTTTCAGTGGACCACCTGAGTTCTTAAAATATCTGACAGTGGAAAAGGTGAAATAAATAAAACGAATAGCAGCACCGCACCTAGAAACCGTAAGAATTTATGTTCCGCGATAATCATATACGTTATCGTTTGATGTAACACATTTTTAAGAACACAAACCAAAAAAGAAGTCGCTCTTACAATGAATAAAGTGATTCGGAAGTGTAAAAGTAGTGTAAAATTTAAGTTTTAAAAGATAACTTATTTTTTCCTACTACTTTAAACATTGAAATTGATTGTCTTAGTTTAATTAAGTAATAATTTTGACTCAAAAAAAATTTTTGTGTCTGCCATAAAAAGTTGCATGTCACCATGAGTGGACCACTGTTTATAACCATGAGTGGACTGCCTGTTTTTCATATTTTTAATGTCATTTTACCATTTTTATGGAAATAAATTGACAATAAATTGGTTTGAAACTGTTTTATGTTATTTATTAATTTTTTTGTGATTTTGATGTGATATGTGCCAAAATTATTGAAAATGGTTTCACTTGTAAACATTGCGACACAAACATGGTCTGAAGCTGCATAAGCATAAATTTTGTTTCAATATATCAGAAATATTAAATACATTAAACAATTAAGAATAACTTTTACAATTTTTTAAGAGTGGTCCACTCAAGGTTACACTTTTTTATTCCTTAAAAATGAGCTATTTTTTTAAAGTCAATTGTTTTTCCCAAATAAAAAAAAATCAAAGCTATTAAGGTATAAACACTTATCTAGGGATCTAAACTAAAGCTTGGAATAGAAACCTCCGATTAATTTGCTGTCATAAAGAATTTTTTAGAAAAAAAGCTTAGGCGGTCCACTCAAGGTGACATTACCCTATGTGCTGTGCGGAATTGTATTTTAAGAAAAAATTCTATAATAAAAATAAAAATTTATCCAACTTCTACAATTTTGAAAATTTTTTATATATAATTTTTCTTAACGTACAATCCCACACTGCACATAATATTTCCTAAATATTTCAGCGAAAAGAGCTAACTTAACAGACATATTTATCATTCAATTATTATTCTTTAATAATAATAAGATACAAATTTAATAAATTTTATTCCTAATTATTTCTAGAAAAAAATATATAAATCAGATAAAGTTTTTGTCATATACAGTTCCAGTCGAGGGTGTACATATTAAAGAGGCATATTCTACTGAAAAAATTAAAACGAAAAGGTAGAGCTCGCTCACCGAACCTGAGTACTTAAAAGTTGCAAAATTCAAAAAATACCGCCACCACGGAAGCGGCCCACAGGCCGAGTTTCGCGCCCGCGCGAGTTGTAAATGTCAATATACCGCGCAATTCAAATCCATATAGTGATTGTGATAAAATAAACATTAATAGTGAAAAAGGGGGCCAATCACCCCCAAGTGTACTTAATGTCAGTGAACAAAAGTTTCTTTTTCAAAATTCAACCATGGTGAAAAGTGTAATTGTGGATAAACCTGAATCACCAACAGCAAAGAATGCACAAAAATCAACGAATCTCAAAGCGCAAAAATCAAATCTAAAGAAAACAGAAACTGCAAAACCATATGGCAAATCACAAATCAACCCAGATAAGAAATCAGCACTTGCAACAACTTTAAAAAATTCTTTGACACCACAAATCGAGGAACAAAAAATGGCAAACAATATAAACATGACACCAGAAAAGTATTCAGAAATAATTAATAATAACAGAAATCAACAAAAATTGATAGATGAACTACTGCAAACAATACAACAACAATCTCAAAGGATAGAAAACCTGAAGAAAATGCAGAGAAAAAATACACACAATTCAATGGAAATAGAAGTGGAACCGACGAAATCGACAGATGATGCGGCAGCGGGTTTTCCCCAACTTCATAAAGAGGAAAGTGATAAAAATCTAAAGGAAAGCTCTTCATCCTCACCCAAGGCCAACAACACCAATAAACAGAGCATCGTTCAAGACCAAAACACAGCTAATAAAAAGATTATCCCAACCACCAGCAAGGGTACAGCAGGTAAACCGCCACCGATCATTATCTACGTACAGGATCAATCTGCAACGGTAAGCTTAGTGAAAGAGTATTTGAAAACAGAAAATTTTCATATTAAAAGAATAAATAAAGATAAACATTCTTTATATACCGAAAATGTTAACGATTTTAAAAAAGCAAAAACACAACTCGAAGCTACGAGTTCAAAATTTTTCACTTTCACTGTAAAAGAAGAAAAAATTAAAACTTTTCTCCTTAAAGGTCTAGATTCAAACACAGATCCCGCGGAAATTTTAGATAACCTTAAAAAGTTTGAAACGGAAAATATAAAATTTATTAAAGTCTCAAGATTCACAACACCGAAATCTCAACAAGAAAATAAAATATTACCTTTTTTCTTGGTACAGCTATCTCCAAATAGCCAAACAAATTTGTTGTATAAAATAAAATATTTAAACTACCAAGTTATTAGATGGGAAAAATTAATAAAAAGAGAAAGTATACAATGTAAAAAATGTCAGAGATTGGGGCACGTAGCTTCGAATTGTAATTTAGATTATAGATGTGTAAAATGCAATGAAAGCCATGAGCCGGGAAATTGTAAACTACCGGAGCCCACGAATGAAATAGAAAGAGAAAAAGTATATTGCGTTTCATGTAAAAAATATGGCCATCCAGCCTCTTATAGAGGATGCGAAAAACAAATAGAATTAAAACGTAGAATGAAAGAAAAAATTGAAGCGATAAGAAAGAGTAAAATTGCAAAAGATCGTATGTATAATAACTTTGCAACAACAGAAACAAGCTACTCAAATATTTTACAAAAAAACACACAAGAAAACTACACAAACACACAAGAATCAACAAATAACAAACAAGTATTAAACAACACTCAAAACCTACAAGAAAATTTAAACAAATTAACTAACCAAATAATGCATATTACTCAATTAGTTCAACAAAATAGTGAAAAAATTAATACACTATACAAACTTTTAACTGATTCTTCCCAAGATGGATAAAAACGCACAAAGTATTCCATCAAACATTATTAACAAAGATTTAAAAATAATATCAATAAATGTAAACTCGATTGTTACAAATGAAAGAAGAAATAACCTCTTAAATTTTCTAAAAAGACATAATCCAGATATAGTAACTTTAGGTGAAACTAAATTAAACCCAATACACAAAATTGATTTTCAAAATTATATCATAGTAAGACGTGACAGACCAAACGCAACATTAGGAGGAGGAGTAGCAATACTCATAAAAAAAGAATACAAATTCAAACAAATAAACATATCGGAGATAGAACAATTTACAAACTTGGAAACTGTTATTATAAAAATCTCTCTACCAAACAATCAAAGGCTTTTTATAATATCTGCTTACACTGCATATGGTAACAGATTAAATTTTAACCCAGAAATTGATAAATTATTTCAAATTCTCAATTTAGAAAATCCTGACAATTTTTTTATAATGACAGGTGACTTAAATGCCAAACATAGAAGCTGGGCAAACGATACTTTCAACACTAGAGGAACATTTTTAAGAACATGGATAGACGACAACGAAATAAACTTTAAACTTAAATTATATACCTCAAGTCTCCCCTCTTTTCCAAGAGGAAACTCATACTTAGATCTAGCCATCTTAGATTGCAGACTCAACGTAAAAAAGTACAAACACACTGACAGACTTGAAACTTTACAATACGACAGTGATCACAATGCAATTCTTTTAAATGTTACTTACGATACGCGAACTGATTTTACTCTAGAAAAAGCGACACACAATCACAAATTTAACTACAGAAAAGCTGACTGGGAAAAATTTAAAAAAAATTTAGACCAAAATTATGACATCGAAATATCTAACAATAAAAATCTAACGAACGATGAAATTGATAGATATCTAAATGACATAAATGAATGTATAACACTTGCTATGAACACCACATTGCCAAAAATTAAAAGTAAAAATTCAATGGAAATTTACCAAACACCTCTTACTAAAAAAATTTCTAAAGCCAAAAGTAAAATAATAACACAAATAAACAAAATCTATAGAAATTTTCAAACACACAATAATAGAGAACTAAATTTTCTTAAAAACAAATTAATAGCATTAAAAGCCCTACTCAAGCAAGAATACATTAATTCAATAAACAGTTATTGGAGAGAAAAAGTAAAAAGCATACCTGCCAATGACCCAAAAAATATGTTTCCCCAAGTGAATAGCATATTCAGAACAAAAGGAAAAATTTCTATACCACAACTCCAGATTGACCACCAAAATGAACCGCTCTTACAAGAATCGGAGGTACCTACACAAAACATACCTACTGACAACAATAATAAATTTTTAATCTCCAACAATGAAGACAAACTCAAATTAATCGGGACACACTTCAAAAACACACACACAAAATTCACAAACTACAGAAGAGAAGGACTTAATAAAATAATCCGTAATAAAATTGTAACACTAGAACAAGAAATTGAAAATGATAGAATAAACAATAACACATTAGTAAACTTCAGTAATAATTTACACGCAAATGACACTCACTTATTGGACGAAATGTTTCCAAACTACTTTACTTCAGGGTATAAATTAATAAAAATATTTAGGAGTTTAAATAATAAAAAGTCAGCAGGTATTGATGAAATTCCTAACATTGTACTAAAAAACTTATCAAACAAAGTAATAGAAGATTATTGCATCATTTTTAACAATATACTCAACAACAGTCATTTTCCGAAAAATTGGAAAAAATCTAAAATTATTCCTAACCCGAAAAAAGGAAAAAATAGCGTACAACCAAGTGATTTTATACCAAT